CAAGGCGAGGACTTCAAGCTAACCACGGTACTGTCCGAAAAAGTGCAATATCCCCACAACAAGGCAATCAAAAACGAATTAAATGAAGCAATACTGCTTATTTGAATAAAAGAAGCTTTATGTTCAAGATAAAACTTTGTGTGTTTCAAGTAACAAAGACTTAATTCTGTATGAAGGGGATTCGAATTTTTAATGCGCAACCAGTAAAATACCCCAGTTTAAGAGCCTGCTGACGCGTAAACAAGCATGGTGACCCCATCTTTTTATTGCATTTTTTTAATGTTCATATCATGAATGTTGATAAGGCCAAGTTTCAAAAAAAGTTTGATAGTGGAACAATTTCAAGGGAATTACCTTAACTGGTTTTAAGAAAGAATTGAAAACATATCTTTTTAGGCAATTTTTAGAGAGTGGGTCATTATTTTTGTAAACTTTATGATTTTAAGATCTGTAATATAATGATTGTAAATAGATTTTTAATATTTGTTTCATGCTTGTGATATGTAAATTATTTCATTTTCCCCTTTTTTGCTTTGTAAAGCGCCATGAGCTCAGGATATGAGCGCTATATAAATAAAGTTATTATTATTATTATTATTATTATTATTATTATCCTTAATATAAAAAATTAGTTTGTTGAAGAAAGAATGAAGTAAAGGTATCATGAGGCGTTTGTGATTTTATAAACTATTTGACGCAGTCCTTTTTTTACGGCTTATGTCCGTTGGGGAAATTGCTACTTGGGTTTTCTTGGATTGAAAAGGGCGGGCGAAAATTTTTTGTTATGGATTTGGTAGAGCGGTGGGGGGGGGGGGGGGGGGTTTATTGCCCCTCCAACAAATGAATAAGTGGCCATTCTAACACCTGAATACTATACAACCTTCCCGACACTTGAGTGCAAGTCTACACGGTGCTGCACGCAGATTAATATCCTAAACTAGTGAGTGGCGTTATTATTTTCTTGTTTTTGTTTTTAGCAGCTGTCAACGAAACAACATGTATCGAGTGCTTCGAAGTTGAGGCCTTGAACATATTCTGTAAAAATTCCATTCGACACATACCTTGTTCTTCTCAGTGCTACACAGCTAAGGGAAACGCAAAGTATTTCTACAGTCCTGATAAAGTTATTACTACAGTCCTAAAGGGAAGAGGATGTGTTAACTGCACGGGTAAGAAAATGGTTTAGTCTAAACGGCACTCAGTAAAACCAGCAGTTAAATTAAATAAAACACACATGAATGGTATGATAACTTTATTTATACACGGTATTTCCTTCAGGTACATTTATGTATTAATGTATTGTCTGTAGTTAGGTTTGGGCTAACTAATAACTTATAATTAAGTATTATTTTTGTATTGGTAGAGTTACCTTAATTAGCTCTTAACTTATTATTTGAAGATCAACGGTCACTTCTGCCCTAAGTATATGTGAAACGAGTTGGTGTACCGAGTAGGAAATAGGACCACCCGACCGCCACCCCGCCCCGCAAAAAAAGATACAATTGTAACTAAAATGACNGGGGGGGGGGGGGGGGGGGGGGAGAGTTAATTCGTCTCGAGTTATTTTAAGAATCGGGATAAAGTTACCTCGCGTGCTGCGTGCATGTTTCGTGGAGGTTTCGCATGACTAAACGCCGTGCAAAACATGTCGGGCGAAAGGCAATGAAAAGCGTAAAGATATCGAGAGCATTTCTGAATATTGAAGCGAAATGAGTCGGCCTCACCTGGGAAAAGGGAATCGCTGGACTCTTTGACAACCCGTGAAATCAGTTTAACTTGAAGTTGTCGTAACCTCAGTGCTTATTTAATAAAATGAGAAATTTCGCCGGTCTATTGAAACCGGTCGTTTGTACAATGAAGCAAGTAGGACGCCAAGTGTTATTTTTGTTGAATAATAAAAGACTAATAAAAGAATAAATATCAAACCAGACATTGCTCTCTTCAAACTGTAAATTGTAAATGATCCTGAGAGAATATTCAGTGTGTTAAGGATTTTCCTGCTGTACTGTTAGCTCTATACAAGAGAGGAAAGGCGATTCTTTTTTAATTTCCATTCCGCTGACACCGCTTTCGTAGAAATCTCTCGAAAACGAATAGCAATATCGCTCTCCGCGTCTTCCGCCATTCTCTCAGCGTCAGTTCGTGAAGGACGCGTGGCTCTGAGCGTGGGTCATCCACGCGGAACACATTCGCGCTATGTGATTGGCTGTTGTCTAATCCCCTTTGGGATCTGTGGCCTTAAAAATAACTCGAGACGAATTACCTATGGATTAGGGTGTGTATGGGGGATGCCTTTTCTGTCCCTTTTATCCTCTCTTGCGAGACATTACAGCAATGAAAACTGTTATAACAGTCTTCTACAATCAAAATAGTTGCAAATGCTTACGGGAGGCCCTAACTATATAATGATTAGAAGGGCAATATTTGGAAAGGTGCATGATCATGGAGTTAAGGAGATTTGACTAATCAGCCAATTTCTCGTCAAACATACTGGCGTGGCCAGTGGCGTCAAAATTGTGTTCGCCCGCCCCGGGCTGGCTCGACTGTTGGGATACGGTCATGGAGTTATAAACAATGAGTTCATCATCTATATAGCCTACTCGCCCCAAAGTGACTGCATTTCGCTTTTCAGAGACCCATCTGTTACTTTTGACCCTCTCGAATCAGAATTTATGTCCGTGATGTAACACTGGTGGTGAGGTAAGTCTACAAGCAGAGTCGTGAAAAACAAAACATTTCTGGCTATCGGGAAAAAAAAAGAAGGAGCTTAAAATACCAAAATAAAATGTCATTTTAAATTTCACTTTGTCACCGTTCGAAAATTATTGTGAATGAGAACGAATGATAGTTTACTCAAATGGGGGGGTGGGGGGAGGGCGTGGGGGGATTCTTAACAGGCTAGTTTGCTAGAAAATTAAAAGTTTCGAGAAAATACTGGGCGAACTGCAGTATACATGCAAGAATGAGAAAGAAAATAAAAAACAACTTTCTGTTCAAAGTCGGGTGAAAAGTTTAATAGGGTCAAGAAGACTGAACTTGATTGAGGTTGTTCATTTCACTTCCGTTCTAGCGTGCAGTTCTGTGTCCTTCTAAAAATAGCTTCGTCTCCCACCGATCATTCCATATCATATTTTCGGACTTTTATTCAGTAATGACGGTACGATCAAGTAATTTGACTTGATGAGTTCTTTATTTCCATTTCGTACTAGAATAAGCCTAGTTTAATAATATACAATCATAACCGGCGGGCGTTTTCACACTCCAGTATTAGATAATACAATTAAGCTACCCTATCTAAGGACCACACCAGGGACACAGAAACAAAAACAAAAGGGTCAAAAAAGATACCCTATTTAANACCCATACTAAAGAACCCACCCAGGAAAAAAAAAAAAAAAAAAAAAGGACAAAAAAAAACACCATTTTAAAAACCAAAAACCTCAAAAACCCTCCCCCTTTCCCCGGCACGGAGCTTTAAAATCCTTAAAATGGGGGTTCCCCCCCCCCCCCCAGGGGCGCATTCATACAATTATAGTTTTACTCCATTACGTTTGCCCAATTATTTTATGCAACAATCTAACTTATCTATAAACAAACTATGTTTAGTTAAAGTGGCTTAGTCTAAATCGATGTGGCATGGGTGATATTGACCTTCCAATTTCTACCTAATTTGTGTACCTTTTAAGTACCGAAAAAGTGCTGTGAGAAGTTATAGCCGTTCATAGCTCAGGCTTAACCATTTTCGGATAAGAGTAGGTAAAAGAAAGGAGGAAGGATAGTTCTTTCTAACTGCGTGAGTCACGATTAAGTTATTTTGATGATAAGGCTAGAATTAATTACTGTAAACCTCCTTCAGTTTACCAACATGGCCGCCCCTCGAGGCCTCGTCAAAACTGTCATTCCTGTATCTTTGAAACTTAAGAGAATTCGAACCTTACAATATGACATGCCAAAAATCAGCCAAATCGATGAGCTACCGTGTCAGGCCGAAGTTCGAATTTTACAGAAAGTCACTCTTAAACTTTTAAGTGTGATAACATTCGGCCTTAAATGTCTTGATATCATGCTAACGTCATCAGTGACGTAAGACGATTCATGTCACGTGTCTCAGAGAGCGCGTTTTATTTACATTTATACGACATCGGCTCTTGTAAATGGTCATTCCAAGGAACGAAATGAATTAATTAATTGTTTTGATTGTATCAAAAAGAAGCCTCACTTTGTTTCTCAGAGCCACGTGAGTATTTATTTTTCCATGTACAATTTTAATACGATCCAATTTTAATTCGTTTACAAAATACACGCTTAGCTAAAATAATTCTTTTCTAAATGAATCCATCCTAATTATAGTAAGGAGCCCAAAAGTCTGACCGCTTTTGATTTATCCACATTCTTTCGTACAGATTTAATTCAATCAGAAGACAGCTGGAAACTGTCCTCGACTTCCGTTGTCATGACCAGTTAGTTGGTTAATGACATGTTACGTCAATGATGACGTTAGCATGACCTTAATGCATTTAAGGCCGAATGTTATTCCACTTAAGTTTTTCTTAAGATGCTATTACATTTAGGCCCTCTACATACGCAACACAAACATACCTGCTATTCTATTTTGCCTTCATAGATAGACTTCTCTCAACTCCACCATGCTTGTGTAGATGGAAGTTGTTTATTTATTTAATCGCTTTCACCATGGTTACAATACTAAGATAAGACTAGGATTAAATATACATTTGAACAAAATTACAAGAACGAGAGACGATGGCGCTCAAGAAATACTAGAAGAACAGAGCTGAGGCTGTATAAAACTCTGCTAGTGCCAGTCCTGTACGGGTGTGAAACATGGAAAATGAACAAGGGGACGACAGAGCAGTAGATGTGTTTCATAACAAATGCGTACGAGGAATCCTACAAATCCAGTGGCAGGGCCATGTCAGGACTGAAGAGCCTCTGGAAAGAGCAGACATGAAACCTATGAGAAAAGAGGTAAAACAGCGTAAATGATGATCCGACATATACTTATACAGGACCAAAACAGCAACTGCAACATAGCAATGGCTTGGGTACCAGAAGGAAAAAGAAGAAGAGGAAGACCAAAGACCACCTGGAGGCGAACGGTTGAAAAAAAAAGAAAGAAAGAAAGAAAGAAAGAAAGAAAGAAAGAAAGAAAGAAAGAAAGGAGCATGGGAATTATGGGACGAAGTGAGGACCAAAGCAGCCAACCGAAAAAAGTGAAAAGATTCTGTTAAGGCGTCATGTGCCAAGAGTCACGAAGAGGATAGGTGAGGTGAGGTGCCGTAAGTTGACCTCCGAGATGAGTTTAACGTTACAAAAGCTGTAAGGCGAGTGGAAGGGGCTTTTTCGGTCGCCAGGCGAGCAACAAAATCGTGACAGGTCTTTTTAAGAGCAAACAAGACGCTATGGGAGCGGTCAATTCGGTGCTGTGGTTTTGGATTAATTGTTAATGCGGAGGAATAGTAAGAGATGATATTTTCCAGATACGCTTCCGTACAAATACCCTTACTTTTCTCCTTTGAATGACAAGACGTCTTAACTTCTTCACCGGAAGCCGTCTGGGTGCATGACCGCGTTTCGATTATTATTTCTGTCATAAATAAATTGTACACGACGAGATCACAGTTCCACTTCTTTTATTTCCTCTACAACAACACTTTCCTCATGTACAGTTAACTCCACACCTTCTCCAGCAACGTAACTAACATCAGTACACCCCTTTGTAAAACTTGCTGAGACTGCACAATCTCCACACCGAGGATAATTCATATAAAACATCGCAACATAAGCTTTAATAAATTATTACATGAAAAGGAATAACACGCGATACAAAAACAAGCATAAAAACACCTAATCTTCCAAACAAAACTAAAAGAAGAACAATGAACGTTAAAAACCACGGTAACTGCGTTTTTCTTCTCCTTGTTGACAATCTATCGCTCAGTCCAAATCGCTCCGTCTACACGCAACGCAAACGACCGTACCACACGTCCTCGATCTTCCTCTTTCCAATCACTCTTGCTGCAATAATTTCCAGTAATCACTCTTACCCTTATACACATATCTGTCCCCAAAATTTTATCCATGAAGGCATGTGACATGTGTAATATTGACTTTCTTAAAACCGATTTCGAGATATCTCGAACAACTTCCGGCCTCACTTCGGAAGCAAACTGTAAGTCTACGACATTCTTCAACGTCGCAAACCCGTTAATACTTTGCGCTCCTCTTCAAATATTTATCGTAGCCGAAAGAACTAGAAGTGATCTCGCGATATCTCCAACTCATTCCGGTGTACGTTAAATATCCAACAAGCCGACAAGTAACAACTCTTTTCCCGTACCTCGTGCATAACTTATGGCTATTTTTCACATCTCAAATTACCTTGCGTCGCAGTGGCGCAATCGGCCAATCCGTCAATTAAGAGTCTCGTCTGATCTGACGGGTCACACGTAAGTCGGTTCAAACCCTGGGCAAGTCAGAAGTAATAATTCTATCTTCTTTATTTCCTCCAGAAGTAATTTTTTCTCATAACTATTTCTTTCCCCTGAAAGAATAAATCAAAGAACTCGAAGATATCTCGAACTAATTCCGAAGCAACTTCTGGGCATTCGGAAGCAACTTCGAGACATCCAAATGCAGCTTTGGAACATTCCTGAGCAGCGCGAATCCTCTAATTCGCGCTCCACCGAATTTAAAAGTCCTTCGCGTGTACGCATAATCGGGACAGTGTCCCTTAAAGAAATACTTACAGATTCCAGTGCTTTTCCGTGTCTGGCACAGTAGCGTTTTTTTACCTCACTGTCTATACGTAGAATTCTTTGGGATATTCGAATCGTTTTCGCCCGTCCACACGAAAACACCAGTACAATGGAAATACGGGAGCATCCCTTATAGAGCATGTGTTGTATGATGTATGGCATCATCGTTTTCGACCGTTCACACGAAAACGATAAGCTGGCGTTTTCAAAAAATTCCACTCTGGGGACCGTTTTTAATGCCCGGAGACGCCGTTTTTCACACTCATGTATGGGGGCATCATTACTCATTCCTTCATTACTTGTAAACTGCACCTTAAGCAGTCTGGCAAAGTCCCCCAACCAGTGTTGTAAATTATCTCTGAAAAGCCCTGAGGGGAGTGGATAATATGATATTACCTTTATTTTACTTTACTTTACGTGAGAACGGAAAGCTAAACTGACAAAAGAATATTCCCTTTTTAAAGATACCAGCGTGCGTGTTGACAAGGCCTAACTTGAGCTTATGAAGCTTGCACTCTGTCTATAACCAACATTTGTGACCAGATCTCTTGTTGTATCTCAACATGAAACTCACATTATTCTCATCCTTCGTCCTGTATTACCTGAAATTGTCTGTAAATAATAGTTTGGTTTTATAATTGAATTTTGTTGGCTCACAAAAAACCCTTTTTTTATACAGCCACGCCTACATTCGCCACCTTCGGAAAACATGATGATTTGAGAACAGCTCTATAGTTCATTTTCATCTAAATAACCTAGGCGGGTATAGTTACAAATTTGGGTTTGTTTAATTTCGGATTGCATAGTCTTCGTTTTAATTTGTCACAAAGCATGTCTTCATTGAAACCGAGGTAAGCTTTTAAGGAGGACAACCGTTCGCAGACTGGAATTTATTGCAGCCTAATTTTGCTAGGCTATCAAGACAACTGAAAGTAAACTAGTTTATTGTCGGTTTGTATTATTCATCTTTTAACCCAGGAGTCCCTGCAGCAGCGGAGATCACAGATTTACCGGCTACAACAAAGGCTGTTGTAATCACCTTAAAATGGAAAGAGGCTGAAAATAATGGAGCCCCTATAATCCAGTACACTGTGTACCGAAGAACTGTCCTTGAGAATGGCACATCATTGAATTGGATCAACATAACGGAAATTACAGATATGACAAATCGTAAAGTGGTTGTTAACTTGGAAAAAGGCAAAGAATATGAATTTGTAGTTTCTGCTACAAACAGTTTTGGAGAAGGAGGGAAAGAAGAAAAAAAAATCAGGAAAATAAAGGTGTTGGGAGGTAGGTGTTTTCTGGCCCAGGTATCTTAACTCTTTTTACACTCTCTGTATATTAAGTTTTCCTTTTTGAAAATTTCCACTATAAACGTAGACACAACGTGTGGCACTGGACTCCATCCAATGGTTGTATAATGCGTAGCATCCGTTTGTTGATATGTGTCTCTACATCACCTTCGCCCCGTGTAACCCTGTGTATACCCAAAACAAAGGAGAAGGCGTGTATTCGTTATTATTTAAAACTGAATCATTGGATAATGCAGTTCTAGACCTCTGATTGGCTTAGCCACCATGGTGTATGAGCCATTAGTATATACACACTCAGTGATCCTGGTGATTTAAGCAATCTGATTGATTCGCTCTCTCGGACTATTCAACAATATTCACCTCCCAGCGAGTGGATAATGTGTGAGCTCGGAGTTTTTCCCAATCGTTAGAGAACGATCGTTTAAAAGTGGACGAAATCCTAGGGTTGACTTTTTTTAAGGCAAGAAACTTTTAGAAGGATTCAAAACGGCGTTTTTCCGTTTACTGTAGCTGAGTTTTGTGCTCGATGGATCGTTTACAACTCCCATTTATTCGCCTAGAAGAGGCCATTTTTGTCAGCACTTCTTGCGAAGAACGACACAACAAACCTTTTTGGCTTTTAACTTGGCGAATCAACAGAAAACAACAAAGCTCTACTTTTCTTCTCAGGTAAGGAAACAATTCAAACTCCTAACGGTTCTATTTAGGCCATTACGCTGTTGTTTGTGAAGTGATAAACTTGTGAATTGCCATGTTTGAAAATTCTGCAACGATCTATTTTTAAACTTTCGCGTGATTTGATCCGTCAATCAAATCGTACTTTTCAATGGTTTCCTCTCTGATTTTGCTGACATCACTTCGTGTGTATATACTAAACAATTATTCTTTACAATCTCCGTGATTAGTGGCTTTTAATAGGAATATTTACCTCGCGTCTTTGCGGCCTGGTATTAATTATCAGCCACTATTCACGGAGATTGAAAAGACTTATAATTGTTAATTATACCATGCTCTCCAAATATAGTAACTGTAAGCGTCTGCTCAAAATTAAAAACAAGCTGTAGATTGGTTGTTTTTACAATTAAAGTCAGGAAGAATTTTCGATATTTTGAGGGCGTTTTTAATAAAACAATAACTCTTACCACTCGCGCCTGTTTGATATGAGATGATTATAGCCTGAATTCGTTGGCTAGAGCGGTTTTCACTTGACTGTCGTAAAACCAAAACCAAAGTAAATACACTAGCCAACCAAAGGACGTAGTAAAACCAAAACCAAAACCAAAACCAATCCCAATTCGACAGTCAAGTGAAAACCGCTCTATCTACCATTTCATATCCGACGCGCACTCGTGGAATTATTGTTAAATAACACACGCCTTTGTCTTTAGCCCACCCTTCCTTCGCTTGTTCCAGAAAAAAAAATAAACGTGCTTTGCTATATACCTGTACTTACATGTTTGTCGATCATTAGTCTTAAGGGGACTGGTTCACGATATTGCGCATGGGTGAGTTCTGCCGGTAGCTGATTGTTTTTAAACCAATCGGAAGCGATTTAGATGCACGCAAGTAAATTTACAAAATTCAAATTCATTGTTCGCGACGCGAGAGTATTCCGGGGCATTTGGTTTGGTTTTATATATCCCCATAATCCAAGTTTATTCTTTGCTACTCCTCAGATATATGTTGCAGCCGATGAGAATAAGATTTACAGCCCTGTCCTGCTTTGAAAGATCCTCGGAGACCCGGGAGCGGTCAGTCGGGCCGGGAGAAAAGGCGCGACAAAAGTTTTCAAGCACAGGCGGAAAAGCCCTGGGTACCGACTCTCACCGCACCATTTCCAAACGGTCAAGCGAATGTTGGCTCCTGATTGGGCACAAAAAATGCTTTGTATTATTGTGCCCAATCAGCGAACAGCTTCTCCTGAGTTCTTTTCGTGAGTTCGTACAAGACGCCTATTGACTCGATCACGGCCTGTCTGGCTCATGTACCAAAGAAATGCACGCAGTCAGGAATCTTTCAGTTTGATATAAACGCTACATTCCAAAACACTGGTAGTCTTTACACTAGAGCCTAAATAAGCTATGGAATATTTCAAGACAAGTGAATTTTAAATTCTTCAAGTAAAAGAAGGCTTCACACACAACCT